TGCAAGGATGCTACCTGCAAGGTTTGATGACTATGTACTGGGCTATGTTGGGCCTATAACTTTTGTCTGACTGTGAGCTTGCTAAAGCTTATGATGTTTAAATGTTATGACAGTTAAAGACTTTGGGCATCTTAGTTTATTGTTGTTTTGCTCAACCATGTGTGAACTCATGTTTTAAAAAAAAGGAGATGTAGTGTTGGTGGATTTACCCACCCCACCCCTGTTAGGTTTGCAAGCGTGCGAGTGCGCATGTGTGTAATAAAGAGACGAGCATCAAAGCACATGGTTTAGTGTAGTTGATTATTATTTAGAAAATACACCACACAGGGTGTTATTGTTTAGCTCCAAATAGATTATCCTTGGCTATTGTTTTATTGTCTTCATCAAGTGCCTTGCATCAACAAAAAAGATCCAGAACTGCCCATGATGACCAACTTTTTTCCAAAGAATCTTGGGCCTACATTTAGAAATGTAATTGTATTTGTGCTTGCACTTTTTCTTTTGTGCCAAACTTGGTACTTACTATTTACTCATTCTTTAAAATTCTTCTGTTTTCTTGACTGTCCAATAGAGTGGTCATGTGATTGATAAATCAAAGCTAAAGTCCAAAGCCAATGATCTGAGGAGTGACATTCAAATCCTGAAAGCTCAACTTGGTCAATTGAAACACATTCATAGCTATCAGGCCAAGTCCTTTGAAGATATGATGAGAAATGCCAAAGATCAGATCCTGTTAAGCATGCAGAAACTTAGTACAGGTGAGTTTTGTTCATTTAGAGTTCATCTCCTAGTTCCCCAGTTTTTCTCCCTCTGCAGAACCTAACACACTATATTCTAATTCAATCTATGGGTTAGATGTGCCCCAAGTTAGATCATCTTAGGTTGTTTAAGGGTTTGATAAAATGTATGTATGGTTCAGGCTGTAACCAGGGATTTTGCAGGGTTAGTGTACAGGGAATAGAAATGGACTGTCTAAACTAAAAGCCATTGCAGAACCAAAAAAACAGCAAGAGAGGAATGATTGATCCAATAACCAATCTATAATTTGAGAAGCAAAAAAAACCAATATTTTGCGAGGAAAATTTGGTTTGAATTTATAAATGGTTGTTTGTTTGTCTTCATATTATTAAATGTAACCTTGAAGTTGTGCAGCATATTGCACATTAATAAGAAAAGGCACAACACGGTTATGATGCTATTCTAACACTGAATAATTTAATGGGAAATTAAGGGCATTTTCAGATTTTGTGAAACATTTTTTTGTGGAGACAGTCATACAGCTTGTTTTCGTTGCTTTTTGTTGATGGATATTTACTTCATTCTACTTTCCCATGGTACTAACAAGAAGTGTATTTATCTTACAGCTGTTGAGGATTCCCCTCAACGCAAAGCTAGAAATAAAGTTCATGAAGATGAGATGAAGTACATCAAAGCCAAGAATGAGATCAACAGAACAATAAGGTCAGTACATTGGTCCCAGCTTATTGTTGTGTCAAAATCAACACAGGTCGTTCAGTGACACTCAATCATAGGGGGATGTACCATTTTCCCACCAATACACACACGTACATTGGTCCCAGCTTATTATTGTTATTTTAAAATCAACGTTACCCATAAAAACGTAGATGTGAGAGTTGGCATGACAGGTCATTCGTTGACACTCAGGGATGTAGCAAGGTCTCGATCATAGGGGAGATGTACCATTTTCCCGCCAATTTACACGTGTGTGCGCTACATCTTTAGACTTTCCCACCCTATTTACAGACTCAGTAAAACCTTTTTTAGGGGGTGGGGGGGCGTGACTACGCTACTGGTAACACTCACATTGCCAGAATTAATTTTTTTGTGACATTTGCCTTAAGTGTTACCAAAGGGACTAGGTTTGATTGAGCCAACTAAAGAGTGTTTCTTTTGAAAAACACTTAGCAGATCCAGTCTTAAAATCTTTTTATTTTATTTTAACAGTGAACTTGAAAGCGAGGTCGAGATGGTAAGGCTGGATGTAATCCAGAAAAGAACAATTGGGAACCCTGTGGAAGTAGATAGCATGAACAGCCAGCTGGCGCTGATCAGCAGACAAATAGCAGACCTCAGAAGTAAGTCAATAGGCATCTTCATTTACCTTTTCCACTCATCACTCTTTGAAAAAGAAAAAAAAAAGATATGTCAGACTAAAAATTTGGTCAAGTATGTTTGAACGTGCTTTTTCATTTGAATCAACAACTAACTGCAGCACCTCTGGATTGTAAATGAATGTACACAGACCTTGTCTTGTCTTGGAATCACAGGCTTCACAATATCCATATCATTTTAGAGAGCCACTGGGTTATTAGTATGATTGTCTGAAATAAACTATATTTCATTCTTTCAACATTTCATTTTTCTTTCATTCATTCATTCATTGATTCATTTATTTTTTCTTTCCTTCATTCAGTCATTCAGTCAGTCAGTCTCATTCATTTATTCATTCATTTATTCGTTCATTTTTCATTCATTCAGTCATTCATTCAGTCATTCAGTCATCCATAAGAATTTGAATATTAGATAGTCACTTTAAAATCACTTTTAAATTTCTGAAGAAAAAAAATGTATTAAAGGTAATTTGTTGCTATAGCAATCGATTATTGACGTACGTGTCATACATCTCATCAGCACCACATGGACAGGAAATGTGTCTCGTCTTCACGGCAGCTGATGCGATACATGAATATCGTAACCATGACAACCGCCTAAGACCACTTCGAAACGAGACGACGAGGAACCAGCGTGACATAATTTGTCTATTTTTCAGGTCAATTTACTGAAATTCACGACAGTATGAAGATGGTAATGGCGTCGGAGTTAGACGTTATTGTACAAGGAGACAAGTAAGCCATATTTGTCTTCATTATAAAGCTCTACCAAGACAATATTAATTAGGCTTTTGTATTGAGGGTGAAGAAATTATTTGGAGGAGAAACAAATTATTTTATTCTGTTGACAAATATTGTTCTTTTTGCTTTTAAACCAAAATTTCTCAACAGCAAGTGGCTCCCAGGCGAAAATGTTCACTAATCTGGTTTTCATAATCATAATTGAGTCATATTAACCTCAAATACTTCAATTATTCGAACTTTCAAAAATTGAGACGTTTTCATCCAAGAGCCCCTTTAAAAGAGAAGTACAAGTTGAGATATTAAAYCTAAGTAAAATATGTAACTACCTAAGTTTTCAAGGTTGTTGTTGTCTTTGTCTGTAGATTCCTGAAGGAGGAGCCTTCAAAACTGGACAATCTCGTCAGTAGATGTAAACACGTGACTGGGACTTTGTTTACCTTACAGAAGTAAGTTATGAGAGAAAATGTGAATTACTCATAGATTTGTCTTTCAAAGTAACTCCTACTCATTTTTTTTTTTTGTGACTGTAAGAAATTCACGCTAAATGTGTGTTGTGTCGTGCCGTGAATGTGACGATACTATGTCCAAACAGTTTTAAAAGCTGAGTCAGTGCACTGTAAAGGAATGTCGTAAACTCTTTACCGCATACATTTGCCGTGCCGTGCCGTTTGACAGTCATATTTTATGTAATCAGCTCTATATGATATCGATACTGATGCATACTATATTCAATCCACAGGTTAATGTCAGCTCAGGAACAGATGAAAAGTGAAAGTCAGATATCCTTTAGCTCTCTTGATGTGAGTAGAGACAAACGATATTGTGGCATAACACACTTCACCCGACCAAACCATAGCGTAACACACCTCATCACATCATATCACGACACAACACCCTGGCTCTTACACCACTTTATTTCAACACAGCACAACATATCATGGACCTTTATCACGCGGCAGCCATGTCGACTGGGAAAAAATAGATTCTTTCCAGCGTAGCTTTGCATTCAAGTGCTTCAGGGTGAGGTTACACACCTCACCTCTCTTCACCTCAACACAAAGTACAGTAATACTCATTTAATCATATTCGCGCTTCATAAATATTTCAAACATCAACAACACTCAATGCCACAATACCCTCACCCTAGCAACCTAGCCTAACCCTCAACTTATTATGCCACATCGTAACAAGCCATTACCATTCCACACCCTACCATACCCCAGCACACCACACAACATTGCACAACCTAACACCAGGTTCATACTAACCTTACTTTCGTTTCCCCCATTTCAGGAAGTAGATAAAGATCTTATAGACAGTATAAGATCGTCACATCTCCATTCAAAACCATCCAGTGTACAAGAGGTAAGTTACTAAAAACTTACTTGTACCCCTTTCGAAAAATAGCCGTATTCCAAGGTCTTGTGAAAAATATTGACTCATTATCACTGAGGATATCCTAGAGAGGTCTTTGAGTTTTATAATATGAAAGATTTTCATGCTGAAAGAGGCTGCCGCAAAAGACGACCACACCCACAAATGAGAATCGTTTAGTTTTTCGCTTTTAGAGTGCTGTTAACATGAATGAAGGGCCAAGATACCTGACTTATTTCTGTTGTTTTTGTTGTCCCACTTGGCAAAAAGATAACAAAAGCTTTGTTTCTCATGGTAAAAGGTCACCCTACCTTATGTAAACGACCCCGTATTCAACAGGGACGACGAAGAACTACCACCCTGTTAGCAGAAGTCTTTTTCTGCCCTCTGTTTGTTCCCCTCCCCTCCCCTCTACCAGCCTGGCGTTCAGCCCTACGAATCAGAAGGGGGGAAACCTCTGCTCGCAGGGAAGCGTATAACGTTTTAAAATGGTGATGGGGGGAGGCTAGAAAGGCTGAGGACAACTTATCCTAATTTGTTTTTGATTTTTTTTTTTTTTTTAATTTCATTTATTGTTGCTTCGTTTAGGATCCGAGAATCAAGTCGAATCGTCCACGTGTAAGATTCTGTGATGAAGTGAACTGAACACCTCATCTCCCACACCCACAACAGAGAAAAAAAGCGATAAAAAAGCAGGAGAAGCAAACTAGCCTCTTCATCTGTAAATGACTAATAACCTTAACAGAAGGTCAGTAGTGTATGGGATGACAGGAAGCTACTGCAAAGAAAGCTACTGCAAAGGAAACTACTGCAAAGCTACAAGAAATAAATGGAAGATGAGATACAATACAATGAGGAGGACAAGACACTTTGCCACGAGTATGGAGTTCAACAAGTAATCCGCTCTACTTTAGACTTTCATTCTTCGTAACTCATTTCTATCGTGTATACATCCACAATTTCTATCAAGTAACTAACATGTTATGAATCTTCTCCTCGTCTTAAAAAAATTTGAGCTATTTTGAGAAGCGTTTCGCCTCTTTCTGTAGGAGCTTTCTTTTTAGGGGTTGAGCTGAAAAATTGGAAAAAGATTTCGTGACAACTTGCGTGACAGCTCCTATCACTTCCAAGAGGGCTTGTTCTGCTCGATGGACAAGATGCATCGTGGTCTAGCTTGAGTTCTATCTTATGACCGGCGTGCATCGATTTTATGGTGTTGTTTGACCAATGACAGACCAGAAAGCGCCATATTTAACTGAGGTGATGTCTGATTGGTAAACCGCCTTCACTGAGGTAAAACGCTTCTCAATTAGTTTTTTATCCTTCGTCTTTTACCAACTAAAATTATCTTGATTTGTTAGCTTGATGATTCATAGTTTTAAATTTTATCTTCTTTTTATAATAATTCCTTATATTTTATCATAAAACTTGGCTATTTTAACATAATCATATTAATAGTTTTCCATGTCAGGGACATTTTAAAACTCGAATTCTAAACATTTCCTGTAAATTGAAGACGTTTTTGCAACATTTTTATATTTTTCCTACCTCTGTAGAGACTAATTTTCTCGCACTGAACCATTTTCAATCGCGATATTTCAAAGGTTTTGACCCTTTTTCCATGTTTTAAGAATGATATATCGCCCCGTTAATCTTATTGCAAGTGATACATACATCCTTTCACTTTAAAAACAAATTTGGGGTGAAAATGCCCCACCCAAACCTGGTGTTTGGGCTGAGGGTGGGGGGCAAAATATTTCATAATGAAGTCTTTGTTACTGTGATGTCATGAACTCCTGAGTGCCATCCTTCTACTTTTATCAAGATTATTTTTGAAAACAATTCTGCTGAACATTATACCAAAGAGATCCAAAAACAAAGTGAAAAAGCTATAATTAGTAAAAAGTTTTGATTATCCTCAAAATATTAACTACAACTGCTGATTGAGTTTTTCGAGTTGCATAAGCAGTTTGCATTGAAATATTTTATTATGAAGATTTTAATTAGTAGAAAGTATTGTTTTCACATGTATTTTAGATTTTTCGAAGAGTCATTAGTATTGAATTATTTTACTGGAATGTTTAGTATGGTTTGAACTCATTTTAGTAAAGCTGGTCAAATATCCAAAGAGCAGGGTGTTAATTAGGTACCTAATTGGCGCCCTGCCAAAAAGTATCGAAGTTCGAGGCCGGGATTCAGCTAAAGYAGAACTTCTATTAAACGTGCCAAGTTGGTTAATGAATAGGAGGTTGCCGCTTAGTAAGGGGTTTATTGATATGGACTAGTGCAATAAAGCGTCCTTTTGGGACTTTGGCAACAGGCCGCTAATAGAGGCTTGTCACTTTATAGGTGGTCGGTTAATAGAGGTTTGTCACTTTATAGGTGGTCGGTTAATAGAGGTTCTAATGCGAATGAAAAAGGTTGCGAGAGCAAAAGAGTGAAAACGAACATGGAGGCAATCAATGCTGTTCCTTAGTATATAATAATCCTTTTTGGATTTATCGGTGCAACGCTTGAAATTCTTTTCTAATAACCGATTTCTTTCCATCATTTGCTTTCATTTCTAGCTCGTATGCATTGAATGATGAAAATAAATGTATTTCCCATGTTCCTCGTTGACAATGGCTAACTTGTCTCTGACATCAAGGAAAACTGGTATCGTAGTCACCTCGCACAGAATTGTGGGTCTGAATCAGATTACTGCAAGAAAACGAAGGCTCCTAATAATCAGCCCCAGAATTCCATGCGTCGAATTCGTTACCAGTCTACCTTGAAGTCTAGAGGAAAAGTCCACAGGTATTCCAAACTTGGGTTGGGGCCGTTGTCTCAGAAGGTGTAAATTTTCATTTTTATAGCTGCATTACTTCGAAATCTAAATTTTATTTCAAATTTGGGTTCATTATATCATTTCCAGTAGATAAAACTAAAGAATTGTATGCAAAGATAAGAATGCATTTCTATGCTTTGGATGTACAGTGTTAAAATAGCTTTTAAAATATTAGAATAAAATAATTATCTGTAACAAGTGAGAGGTGTAGGGTGAAATAGTTGTTTGGTGTAATACTTGTTGTTTAAAAAAATTTTATTCACTTCCTCCCCCCCCCCCCTTTCAAAATAAAATAAATAAAGCCAAGAGGGACAGGCATTTAAATATTGTCCTTCCCTATTTTTGTCATTTTTCTCCCTAACCAACTTTTTCAGCAGTTTTTCCTTCCGCAAGCAAACGAAAAAATGATTAAGAAGTTAATTAAATTCTTTTCTCCCTTTAACGCTGTTTCTCTCTTCTAATATTTTTTCTGTCTTTTTTTATTCGTTTCTTCCTCCTCCCTGATACGTTCCTCTCCAGTCTGTATAACTGCACTGTGGTTCTTTGCTTGTTGATTTCCTGCAGCTTTGTTGTTTTTCGTTTAATTTTGTTTGTTTGTTTGTTAAAGAGAAATACAAGTTGAAGTTTCACGACCAAACAAATAAATGATCAGCACCCAAAAATCCCTAATATATTTGGGGCTAGTATTTTAATTTCCATTTCCGACCACATGTTGTTCCCAGCTTGAGAATACGTACCGGTAACGCTTGAGAAGATATATTACTGTGTATGAAACTGAAACGAAAAGTCTAATTCCAATGATATCGAAATAGGGAAACCGTACTCATAATGTTAAAGGTTGTACGAGATTTTTAAATATGTACTGTGTTTAGCTGTAGTAGAATTGATACAAAACGTAATGGTAACAACAACCTTCAATTTCCCAGCATGCGTTGCAAATCAGCACTGATGCATGGGAGTCATGTGACTCGAAATTCATGTGTCACTACATGTTCGACATGTTGTAAACAATGGGCCCAATGAACAACGTAAATACTTATCGTAGAGACAAAATCTGTCTCCGATAACAATATATCTACATTCATGGTTTGAAAATTGCGAGGGAAAAGGAAAGAAATGAAAAGAGAAAAACAACTGAAAATGGGAATTAAAAGGGACAAAGCATTTTTATATTTTTATAGTAAATCAGTGTAATTATGAATTGAATCTAGACAACGACTGGAACCAAGTGTTTCATGAAGCGTTTCCTTCAGCTCCGTTCTTCCGCTAAGTGTAATGACCGAGAAGTTTTCATTTGATGCATGAAAAATCATATTTGTCAATGGGCAACATTATAAAAGATCAAATACTCTCTCTAAACTAGCTGTAAATATATATTAMAAAAGTCCTATTATTACTAAGCTATAAATAAAACGACTGACAGTATTGAAGGGATATAAAGAAATGATGGGTGTATTGACGAACGTAAAGACAAAACACTCAAATATACTCAATTACCTCAAAATTTGCTGGGGAAGCCCAGTTCAAATTTGTGAGATATATTTTTGAATTAATTTTTTGTTTTTGTATTTCAATTTCCGCTATGGTCTTTGAAAAAAACAACGTCTATGTACAAAATTGGTATGTTTGTTTTGGATCTTATCTTTCGGTTTTATATCGCTCGAGTACGTCTGCATCAGCGAATTATTCTAAAAAAATTAAATCCTTATATTAATGTTACCACTTCAGAAAACAACTGTATTTACATGTGTTGTTTTTGTGCTATTTTTAATACACATTTGATAACTTTAAGCCACTTTCAGGTGGCTGTTTCAAATGACAATAATATGTACCTGCACCACACTGGATTGTCGACCCTTCCCCCTCCCCTCCCCTCCCCTGCACCACTCCCAGTCTATTCCTTACTGCCTYGTCAGGCTTCTGTTGATTGGCTGACTTTGGGAAGATAACCAATCAGGTGTCGTGTTTATAGGTCACGTGGTGTAAGTAATGACACCATCGAGTAGAAGAAGCAAGACGAAGCTCCACATATTTCAGTTGAACGAGCAGGTTGTAGTAGGGGAAAAGCTTTGACTTTAAACTAAACTTAGTTTAATATTTTAGTTGTTTTTCTTCTGATTTAGCCCATCAGGGGCTTGGAATAGTTATCATCTCTTAAATTTAAGAGTATTTCGATGAAGAACGGTTTAGAAGCGGCTGGAAGAGCGGTAATAGATATGGAAACCCAAGGAGACGATATGGAGCCAGATGGGCATGAAGGAGACGACGAGAGAACTAGTGGTCCGAGTGGTTCGGAAATGGCAGAGAAGGACATAGAAGTTAAAATACAAGATAAAAAGGTTGATACTACAAGTGCTGCTGCTGGAAATGCAGATATTTCTGAAGTTAAACCTATGCGGATTCAGAAAAAACATCGGAGGGGCTCGCGCAAAAATCGGAAAAAATACAAACCTTACTCGAAGATGACTTGGGACGAGAAAAAAGCAAGACTCGAGCTGGATGCAAAGAAAGCTAATAAGGTGAGAGAGAAGTACACACACGAGAAGGGAAGACCCAATGCTCCATATAATACTACGCAGTTTTTGATGGACGAACATGATCAAGAAGAACCAGACATAGGAAACCACGCACATATGCAGTCGGACGGGGAAGCTGAAGACGATGATTGCGACTCGCGATCAACCGAACGAAGAAGACTTGATTCACAATCCTTTGACGATCCGGAATTAGGAGACTATAATGAATCTCCAGAGGATGAGATTTATGAACAAGAGTTCTTTCAAAAGGATTTTACAGAGGCGTATGAGCAGTGTCATGCGGAGAGTTTATACTCCATGAAAAAGGATGAACTCGTTCGCGAGTGTATGTCGCTAGAAGAACGAGTAGAAGCATTAGAAAGAAAGTTACGTGAAGTTGGTGCTTTGGACAACCAAGACAGATTAAGGGATTCATCTTTAGAGGACCTTCCTTACAGATTTAATGGTGATAATCTTAATACGGACGATAGTAGTAGTAGCAGTAATTCTAGCGAAGATCTTATACGAACCTTACGTACTGAACTCAACAGACTAAAGACTGAAAACGAGAAACTTCAGCATTCAAAAACTGTACAACCCGCTGTCTGTACGAGTGAATAACAGCTAAACCTATTAGAATATAGATTCTTATATTGTAAATAGAATAATATCTTCACTCGGTCTCATTTTAGAGATGATAGAACTTGCGTAGGTAAATCTGTGTGTAGTAAATCCTTGATCACACGTAGTATTTCTATGCCCGATCGCGTACGTACGTTTTAGTAACTTATAGCTTTTCCTTGTCCTATTTATTCTACAAGAATAGATACTAACAAAGATGAAAGCCATAGGTATCGTCTAAATAAAAAACCTTATCGCTAATACGTTCATTGTTGTCTATGAATTTATAAACTGGCTTCAAAGTAGACGCTTGAGTTCTGCTGTCGAGCATACGCGCCAAAAGTCTGGTGAAAATTGAAACACTTGGTGCTAAAAAACTAGAAAAATCCTAAGTTTATGTCCAGAAATCGTTGATGAAAACGTCGGTTGAAGAATGGTACTTCTCTTCACAGATTTTTTATCGAGTATTTGTACATGGCATCCTTGGTCTTCTATTATTGTTATTGTTTACGTTGTCCATCTTGTGACGTCTATGACATGTGACCCTTAAGAACTGAGGTCGTACGCCTGAACRATTTGCAATTTCCATTACTAGATTCTTATCTAACAATCTAAATTACTGGATCAATTGCTAATGTTTTCCAAAAAGTTTTTTCATTAACTTTAGTTTTTCAATTTGACAATCAAAGAAGAATATTAATATAAATCAACATATTTGATTCCTTTGTCATTTAAAAACCAGGGCATTGAATAGGTTTTATTTACTATATCATATAAAAGTACTAGTAGTAATTGATCGACCCAGTATCAAGAACTTCCTTTTATAAACTGATAATTACTTACGAGAAAAGGTGGATGGGTGGTAAAATTGGTTACTGTTTTCCTCAACTTTCCTCTGATTAGCAAAACTTGGAAAAATTCAGTGCCATATTGCAAGGCTTTAGTAACCTACATATTTTCTCACCCTCCTCCCATAAGATCCATAAATGAGACTGCATCCCTAGGACTGACATTCTATAGGCATATGATGTTTCAATAAAAGGTCAATGCCACTAAGTTAAAATTAAGTTTGATATATTTTGAAAACCTGTGAAGATTTTGTTTTAAGTCAAAGCAACTGCAGTAATTTGACTTCATCATTGTGTTTTTTAGGATACTTAACATTGCTGTAACATGATTTTTCGATCTATTTATTTTTTGACATACCCTTCGATTTGTAAACTAATACTAATCGTAAGTCTATCCTTGGTATTTTCTTTATATCATATTCACATATTGTCTAGATGTCTAAAAGTTTCAACAAAGTATAAGGCACAAAATTTAGAACACAACTAATGCCCGGAGAATCCACTTCATAGAAATCAAATTTTAAAAACTTGCCCTTCTCGTCTATCAATTTCGATTTAAGCCAGCTGTGTGTAGGGYGTATCTAATTTTACTCATATCGTATAACAGTTCTTTGATTACACATTGTCCTTTGATCCCAGCAGAAAATAACCATTCCCCTGGACTGGAGRGTTACTAGGCCATCATGTTGGAACAGATACTGGGTTACTTTTTGCAGACATTTAAAAWATATGGTATGTATATGAGTGACATGCTGATATATTGCAGTGTAATTTCATATGAGGTCATGTCATTCTCTTGAGTATTATGTATYTTATTATTTCTTTATTCACAAGTAATACATTCTAAAGGGAATGACATGATCTAAGATGGAAAAAATTAC